AAAAAAAAAAACCACCAAGCCAAAATAGAAATGAGGAAAACTTAAAACTTTAAGCAATGAAAATAAAGGGCAACTTCTATGACCAAGCAATTTTTATACAACAAAAGAAGCTGATGACAGGAGGGTAAAAGGCAGTGTAAGCAGTGCCACAGAAAATTTAAAATATATTTAGAGCAAAAGAATTCTTATTAGTAGTAGAAACATTTGCAGGAGACAGGGATAACCATTATGAACAATATCACAGAACACCAAGAGTGCTCCCCGAACTCCACCCTGGAAAATTTCAAGAGGCAATTCTGTATTTTTAGTGATGACTGTTTATAAGTGGTTTAGTAAATCAAGGAATAAAGAACCAAACCTACCAAAGTTCCCCCTTTTCATGATCAGCCAGTTCAGACAACATTCAGGAGACTTTGATGGATCTGCCTGAGGAGCAGCTGATGAGTTGATGTGAATGTTAATGAATCATTTCACTGCACTGAAACTCCAGGAGATGGAGAGACAATATTGGAGATAATATTGACTAAGCCTGGACACCCTGCATCTGTCACTCCCACGCAAAATAATGGAAAACCTTCTATGAGATTGCCTTGGTAAAGGCTGTAAATGTAATTAATGCCAATCAAAACTGTGTTTGGAAGATGGGCCTTGGCACGAAACCTCATTTTTTTTCTTTATATTACTGTTTTGCTTGGAAAACCCAGTGCTAAATGTAGCAGTCTTTCTTAAAATTCTCACCTTTATATTGCACAACTTCCCAGCTAAAAACAAAACACTACAAAATATCAGTACCCCCTCCTGTGGTGTCCCACCCCTAAGGGGAAGGGAGCAGCCAGGATTTGCATGTGCCCACAGCTGAGAAGGAACAACAATAGTCAGAGGGTCTGAAAAAATTAGAAGTTTAATCAGTAAACCACACACTTGGCATGGAAATTTTTATAAGGTAGTACCTTATCCTTTGTACAAAGACACAGGGGTGGATTTTGGATAAGGGGAAGAGGGAAAAGGAAAAGGAAAAGGAAAAGGAAAAGGAAAAGGAAAAGGAAAAGGAAAAGGAAAAGGAAAAGGAAAAGGAAAAGGAAAAGGAAAAGGAAA